CGCTGTAATTCACTCAGCTCCCCCGAAGAATACGATTGAAGCAGAGCAGTTAATCAACAATGCTCTTGCCACCGCCATGCACGCCACCAGATGTGCTGTCAGCACAGCTATTCACACCTCTCCAGGAGCAATGGCCTTTAAACGAGACATCATACTAGTAGAGATCCCTCTGATGGCAGACTTGATAACCATCAGAGACAAACGCCAACATATCATCGACCGTAATCTACTGCGGGAAAATGCAAAGAGGATCAATCACAAGTTCTGTGTAGGACAACAGGTCAACATGAGGATGTACGATCCAACCAAACTGTCCAAAAGACTACATGGTCCATATCCCATTGAGGAAGTAAATACCGTTGAGGAAGTAAATACCAATGGGACTGTGGTTATCCAGCTTAGCAAGGATATAACTGAGACTGTTAACATACGTAAACTGGTTCCTCACCAAGCACTGTTAACRACTCCTACAAAAGATTCCCAGTAGGAATATTACATAAGAACTACTACGTAACAAAGTAATATTCCTGTCGGGGATAATGATGGTGCAACGTGCATCGGTCCCACGAGAGCGCAGGTGATCGCGCGAGACCAAAGAGAACCAAGCCGGTCAGCCCCCTTTGGACATTCCAGATCAAGTCCTGGATTGGAGGTACAGAATCCCAACTCGACAAATCATATTCTCTCAACTTACTTCATAATTTTATAATTCGTCTAAATACCTAATTTAATCACGTAGTTGATGCAGTTTTTGGATGGCATTCATGATTGAAAGGCCAGGATTCATAATTGAATCACCTCGAACCATTTTGTTTTGTTTTGTTTTGAGGGGAATCGGTCATTTTAAAAACAAGCTCAGTAGAACCTGGTACATGATGTACGAGCAAAAGTTAATAACTTCAAATCAAAGTTTAGTAGAACTTGAAATTATTTCTTATTGCTCTCGTCTGGCTGAGTCCGGTTTCAATTGTTATGAAACTCGTAGTACGTAGTCACTAAGAAGATAATACTGTTTCTTCGAACATACCGTATGGCGGAGGATAATATCACGACCCAGAGCGCATCCCGTTGGAAGCTACGAAAGACTCGAAAGGTTCGATTGTATCATTAGCAATCAGGAATCATCGCCAACCGGATGCCGATTTCAAAACTAATAGCGATTGACATTCCAAGCGCGTTCTAGAAACAACAATCTGCACGATCYACAGAAATGCGAATTCAACRCGTMGTGTAGAAACCGCTCGCATCTCGGACCAACATACAGCGACGAATTCTATGGATGAAGGCATGGGACCACCGCACGATGTTTTTGGCCGCTGCTAGAGTGCAAAGCGCCTGTGCAACGTCCCGTGGAGCTGCGGTGTTGCGAAACGATAATGTGCCAGCCCACTGTTCGAGGCAGGCGGGAGTGGGACCACTGCMGGGGATAGCTTTTTGTTGCCAGCCAGGGACGCGGCACCCGACAGCTGCAGTAGCTACGGAGTAGTACAAGTACGTACCGACGAACGTTGCCAGTTGACTTTCGGGATGTACTGCATCGGACTCGTGCCTTCTGGCCGGTACTTTACTATTACGGTACGTAGTAACGAACTACCTGTTGGTACGGTAGGTTTATTTTATGACGATGCAGCGGAAATACTAGAAACTTCACCTCTTTTTATCGCATAGTGTGTTTACGTGCTTTCCTCGCGTCTATGGTAGCAGAGATGTTATGATACACGAGCAGTTTTATTTCAACATCATGTTGTAGCAAATATTAACCATGCATCTATTGATTAKTACGCTCTTTACAGTTGTATCTATAGATCAGTTTGTAGTCGATTGTTTGATAATAATACATTTCCAACTTAGAATTGTTTAGATTGTACTATGTGCATACATTGTATCTGGTATCAAGTGTCAAATACAATACAATCTATTGCGTCTAAGCAGCGTCTGCACAGTACTGTCGGAGGACAATATGTGCAGTGTTATGTGCAAATTCGTGCAAATGGTATTGGCAACCAATCGATGCTCTTCTTCTCCTCGCAAAACTAGTAGTAGTTGCCAGAATAGAGACGTCTTCTTCGTCCTCGCAATAATCCTGTTGAAGCAGATCCAAGTGAAGTGCTGCTGCTGCCTCGCCTTGATCGCCATACGAGTTGCTTGATTCGAAATGCTGTTCCTGTACCTGCCGTTGGTATTGATCAACCAAGAGAACTATGGACGACAGCAAGTCCTGGAGGCATTCTTTGTGCTTCGGTACATTGTTTATAGATCGGTAGAGCTGACTCAAGTTGTTGCACACAATCATGTGGAACCGAATGTGATTACCGCAGTTCTTGGAAGAGTGCCGGTTGCTGCTCGGACGCGGACTTTGCTGCGGACAAACGTCGCCCTCTCTGCTTGGCGGTTCCTCTTCGCTGGTGCACGGGCAAATGCCGGTCTCTTCGGAGCKCCCGTGCTTCGACGGGTCGGCGAGGGTGTAGAGCCTGATCGCGATATCGGAGAATCTTGCCTGCCTCTGGCGCTTGGTTTCTTCCTTTCTGGTGCTTGCTGCYGCACTCGTCGTTGTGTTGCACGCAACGGTAACGCTTGCCGTGCCGAGCGCGATGCTCCACAGCTGGAAGGCCAGGGCGATGTTGAAGTTGATGACGGACACGAGTGTCGATTCCTCGATCGAGCCTTCGAGAATGTATCGAGGAGGTATGCGGATCGGCCTCCGGTATATCGATCCGGGGCTGCTTTTGAGGCGGCCGTCTTCTTCCTCTGGGGGAGTCCAGAAGTATCTGTTGTTGCTCGCGTCTTGTTCTTGTTCTTGCGGAGCGCATGGAACGGACGATCGCGGAGGGGACAGTCTCCGTTTCTTGGTGTTGGGTCCGTTGGCGACATAGTCGGAGCGTCCGGTCCCCCCGTTTTCCTTCATCTCCCGTTCCAGGACGATGGCATCGACGATGGTTTCGGAGTACGAGAGGCACCCATCGAGGGTGCAATCGCAGCACGGATCCCCCGCGTACGAGGGGCCACCGCTGCCGCTGCTACAGCTGCTGCTGCGTTCCAGGAGTTTCAGCGCCTTTCCCAGAGACTTTATGGCTCGCTCGTGCTCCCCGATTTCTATGCACAACACGGCGCTGTTGTTGAGCTTTTGTGCGTAGGAGTTTGCCTTTTCTCGAGAAAGGACGCTCCGGGAGGTGCTTCGGCCGCTGCTGCCGCCGTTCGTCCCGGCGATGCTGCCGTTGCCAATGGAAGGACGGCGGTACCCAAGGCTTTCCTGGTGTTGGTGCTCGATGGGGTGCGAGGGGCTCGAGGACGGAGGTTCCATGGTGGTTACGGTCTCGTACGSTCGGCTTGGTTTTAAAAGAGTTCTTCTTTGAAATTTGTGGTGCGCTACGGTATTGTAAGTGTAGCTTTTCTTTGATTGCTTCTGACTCACGAGGTTTCAAACAAATTCTTTTTTCCCTCTCTCCTTCTTCTTATCAATTAGTAAGAAGAACGTTATCATCCACAAACAGAACGGTAATTGCGATTGAGCACGATCAGGTAAATTCGCGATCTCAATTGTTTTACTGTTAAGTTCTGAGCATTTTTTTTCGTTTAAGGGTTACAAAGGGCAATATAATTTGATTGTCCCCATCTTACATTACCAAAACTMAAATAATTAATCTTTCACCGTAGACCAGAAAAAAGAATAGGATCTCCTTTTTATTTTACTTAATYGTCTCAATCTGCTTCAAAAGAATCGGAACTTTTCAAATAACCCTTGAAACTGTACCTAAGTAATTTTTAGGACACGGGTCTCAATAAGTAGATTGTTTCTTATGAAGCCATAGGGTTATAGAAACAGAAATAGYAWGGTTACGATAGGCAATATAGTTTTTCGGTTCGTACACTGTTAGATGCGAAAAAAATATGCTGTACGAATAATATTGTACTGTATCCTGCTGATTGTACCGTCCTGTACATTATTGGGAATCGGAATGTTCTGATATTTTCCTATCCCGTTTGAGAATGGGAGGTATAATAAAGTACAATCTGCAGAACGAAATTCTTCACTATAAGTATTCATTTCGTGGATAGCGCTAAGTACTAGTTGAAGAATGAAAAGTTGTTTAAGTAAAAGCAGATTGTTCGATGTCTTGTCATTTTCTGTATGCGATCTTGCTATGCCGTAAGTAAGARATAAGACGATCCGTGCATTTTCCGATCCTAGATTCGGGTCATCGCTGGGATTCGGTTCTCAAGAAAAAAACATCACGCGGGTTTAAATTCAAGGATCGAGTGATCCGTGGCGATGGTCGCGCGCGGCACGTGGTACCGTAGCCAAGGAGGGCACGTGCGGTACATACCGTACGTTCGTTTAGGCAGGGACTTAGGCTAGGGACAACGGACGACCCCCTTTCTTTTCGTGTACCAGAAATAATAGATAGGAGTACGTACCGTACTTGGTACCTACATGCTGCGAGTGCCACATGTATCGTCGCACAGGACTCACTAAGCCGAGTCCCAATAAAAATACTTGTCCTGACTCCGTAGAAACTTGTACCGTAAGTACGGTACCGCAGCAGCGTTTTTGGGATCACACAAAGTGGGGATAGGTGATAGGTCCTGTGTGATCGCGTCCCAATGAGCTGGTATGTTCTATGCAAACTCGTACAGTGCCAGCCCAGGTAGTGTTTGTGACATGATTTTTAACGGTTAAAAACARTTCCAAAATTAAGCTAGGCGACGGTAGGTTCGAGTACGAGTACGTACTCCCGATTTTTGGAGAGAGCGAGCCTCGCACGCATTCTCTGTCAACGGGAAGTGTTCGCACGTCCGAGTTTTCTGTGCCCGACGATCAATGACAAAAAGTGCATCCGAATCGAAGACGGGGGAAGAACGCAATTCGTTCGAGGCCGAGCGAAGAGATACACGAAACCCCAAGGCAAGGCAAGTCAAGGCAAGGCAAGGCGAAGAACCGGGAAGCAAAACAGCACCCAAAAGCCAAGAGGCAGAGAGCCCGGCGAGGAACATTTCCACACAACCAGCAAAGAACAACCAACAAACACACAGCACACCGCTTGTCTCTCCCATGGGCGTCGCCTCCGACTTTCTGCCCCGGGTCCTGGAATCCGGGGGCCGCCCCCTGGACCTGGCGGACTACCGCGGGGGGATCCCCGTGGACACCCCACGGGCCGGAAGCAGGAGCAGAAGCAACAGCAACAGCAACAGCAACCACGAACGCCGAGAAAAACGCCCGCTGAGGATCGGGATCGACGTGTCCTCGTGGATCTACCGGGCGGGCTTTGCCCTGGGGGACCGCCTCATGGGGGAGGACCGCTACCTGACGGCCCTCGGGCGGGCCGACCTGCAGCGGGAGCAGCAGCAACAACAACAACAACAACAACAACAACAACAACAACGGGGGGCCGGTGGGGAGGCCACAGCAGGCGGGGCCACGGAGAACAACGGGGTTTCTGCTTTGGATTCGAAGGAAAATCCGATGGACAATCCGATGGACAATCCGGGGGACTGCAACCATCCGATCGAGAGTCCTTGCCCCATCCAGCAGCAGCATCTGCAGCACCATCCGAAGCAGCATCTCCCGGACCCGGTGGCGGTCCGGGACTACCGCGAGGCATGCGCAAACTACGTCGTCAAGCGGCTGGAGCTCCTCAAGGAGGGGACCAACGCCGATCTGCTGGTGGTCTTTGACGGGCGGACGCCCCCCGTCAAGGCCAGGACGGTGGCCAAGCGAAGGAGGGACCGGTGGAAGTACCAGAGCCTCCGGGGGGAACGACCGGGTGCGAGCGAGACCGCAATTGCCCACCAGGACAGCGAGAACAAAGCCAGCAACCACTACGACAAGAACAAAAAAGGCGTCGACGCCGACGTCGAGCGGCGCGTCCGGGCCAAYCGCCGCGCCGGACCGGGGGAGCACCTCCCGGGGATCGTCGATTGCCTGCTGGGCAAGCTCCGGCAGAAAGCGGCCTGCTTCGGGGGGAGGGGCCTTTCCGCCTGGATGGTGGCGCCCTACGAGGCCGATTCCCAGCTGGCCTACCTCTCGAAGCGGTCCTACATCGACCTGGTGGTCACGGAGGACTCGGACCTCGTYGCCCACGGGTGTCGATCGGTGCTCTACAAGTGCCTCGACCACCAGGGGCCGGGAAAAGGGGCCGGCCGAGGGAACCGGACCGGGGGCGGCAACGCCAACGTGGACAGGGACACCGACGCGTCCATCGACATCGACATCGACATCGACATTACCCGGGGAAAACTCCTGGAATTCCGCGACCTTGGGAGGTCCGGACCCTTTCCCGGCAGCGGGAGGGCCACCAACCCCACTGCCACTACGAAGCACAAGCACAAGCCCAACCCGGTGCCCGATCTGGCGGACTTTACCCCCTCCATGGTGGCGGTCCTCTTTGTCCTGCTGGGGTGCGACTACAACGGCTACGAAAAGCTCCGGGGGATCGGCCTGGCCACCGCCTGCCGGATCGTCCGCAACGCCTTTCTCGAACCACCCGGGAGCGGCAGCGACGACGGCAGCGACGACGGCAACAGCGACCATCGCCCCACCACCAAGTCCTGCCTGGAACGGGTCTGGGAGGAGGCCTACGCCAGCTCCTACGACCCCCCCGGGACCTTTACGGAAAGGTTCCGGGAGAGGTACCAGGCCTCCTTTGCCGAGGCCCTGCTCATGTACCGGCACCCCGTCGTTTTTGACCCCCTGCGGAAGACCTGCCTGCGGATCGGGGGCGGAAGCCACCGCGGCACCCACCGCGAGAGCGGCGACGACGACGACGACGACGACGACGAAGAGCTGCTCAAGGGCTGCAAAGAGTACTCCGAGCTGCTGGCCGATCCGGAGCGGTGGGTGGCGGTGGTGGGAGAAGTCCCGTCGACGAGGGAGGAGTGCATCTCGATCGCCGAGGGCCGGACCCACCAGGAGTGGAGGATGAAAAAACCCACGCCGGTCTACGCCAGCAACAACAACAACAACAACAGCGACGGCTCTGGCCACCCCACCACCGCAAAGCGGAGGCAGGAGCCGGAAAACCCCTCCCTTTCAAAACGCCCCCGTCGCTCCCCGGCCGGAGAACGCGGGGAGCAAGCGTCCGTTGCCGCGTCCGTTGCCGCGGCCCCCCTCGGGCACGACGAGATCGTCGCCATTGCCGCGGGGGGCTATCGCAGGGASGATCCCCGGGAACCCATACACCCYTTGGCGGAAGGCGGACGCGGGCCGGCCGGAGGCGACCGTGGTCTCTCCCGGGCCCTCTTTCCGGAGCCACCCGCGTTGGCGGATGCGRGTCCGGATGCGGGGGACGGCASCGGGGCAAGCACGGGCCCGAGCCCGCCGAGCAGCGAGGGACGGACCGTCCCCCTCTCGGAAGCATCCGGCGACGAGTGGCCGGGAGGAAAGGACGAAGAATCCACCAGCCGGAACCTCCTGGCCTCCACCGCGACGCCCGAACCCGGCAGCGCGGGCGAGAGCCGGCCGAGCGGCAGCAACACCCCCGGCGTCGGCGCTGGAAGCTCGACGCAGACCTCGCTGGGGGCCACCACCCAGACCCTGTCGTCGTCCGCGTCGGGGTCGCTGCCCTCGCAGACGCAATCGCAGTCCCAGACGCCCCGGACTCTTCCCGGGAACCCAGACGCCGCAAGCCGTGGGGGGACGCCTCTGTGTTCTACGCCCGAGGCGGAGAGCGTCGACCTCCTGGCCTCCTCCTCGCCCTGCACCGCCACCGCTACCCCCCTTTCGCGGAACGAGGCCGAGCCCACGCCGGCCCGAGAAGGCCACCGAATGCCCGCGCYKTCCCCGGAACGCCCGGGCCTCTCGCTCCGGACGCCGCAGAGGGGGCCGCCACCGCTGTTTCTTCCGCACRGCGGAGCGTCGGCGAAACCACGGTGCGACACCGACGCCTTTTTGTTCCAGACGCAGTCCCCGCTGGCGGTGGCCCGAACGCCGGAATGGCACCGGGGCCAAAGCCTGTGAACGGGGAAGGGGAGTCTCCCGCGGGAGAGGAAGGCAACCCGGAACGGCACGTGCGTGCCTAACGAACCACCCATAGGTAGATTGCGATGCGATACGATACGATACAATACAATACAATACAATACGGTACGATAGACACCACACGGAATTCTGTGGTTTTTAAACTGTAGTCGTAGCGTTGATCGGTGCGGATCCCCGGTTGGCTTGCTTTTGTAGGGGAACGCGGATTGTGTCATCCCGTTCCGCTTGTGTTTGCCCATCATCTTTCGCCATGGCTCGTCTGATAAACCTGGCTTKCCGTGGTTTCRCAAACTCTGCCGCATCTGGCACCCGATCTCGCAGGCAGTGTTCCTTTCCAACGTTCTACTCACACTCGGTTACTCAAAAATAATATCTAGATGTAACAGTTTGGGGGTAAGATGCATTTTAAGTGTGTTATTGGTTTCCTTTCGTTTCTTTTCTTCCGGTGCTTGGCTTGTACTTCCGCGTGTAGTTTATACCAAGTCACTGAAAGGAAGAGGCTGAATGGTGGTGAGTTCCGTGTCGCCGGGG